ACATCTTGGGGGGAAAAAAAAAAAAAACCATTAAAGGGGTCATGACCTTTTTTATTTTGTATTATTTTGTACTGTCTTCTGAGGTCCACTTATATGTTATCAAGATTTTTACATCAAAAACATAATTCAGAAGAAATAAGCTATTTTCTGTCCTGTTTTGACCCCCTTCACCAGAACGCTCTGTTTGAATAGGCGTGGCAGATTGTAGACTCGGAAGTAAACGCCCACTGCCATGATTGGCTAATATTTGTGTATGTTTGACAGCCTACATCCTTCATAGATGGATGCTGATTTAGGTTAAAAACGCATAAATACTCAGTACATATCAAACGATCTGTAATAACAGACAAAACAATAGTGAGCACAAAATAAAAACAGTTACTCACACTTGTGTGGTGCCACATTACCATTGGATCCAGTCTGCACAGCATCTCCTTTTAGTTTCAATCTTTCTGAAAATCCTGCGTTGAATTGTGCCTTGTTTGTAAAAGAATCCGTGGTAAAATGAAGTGAACAAAGGATCAAGTTCTTATTGACATGGTCTGGATGTTCATCTGGTCTTTCCTAATGTTGGGATCAGAAGGTAGGTTATGTACAAAGACGGTGTTTTTCCACAACTTGGCACCTCACAGCGTCTTGTTGTCTCTGGAGCTATCTTTATTGTTTGGTTTCTGCGTAGACCTGCGTTTGCCTCTCATTATTTCCAATACATGCGCAAATCAGTGGGCGGGGCTAAACAGGCAGCGATGTAGAAGCAGGCGTTGATCTTCTTCTGTTGAGGCGGGGTTTAGCCACTATTACGTCATAAAGTGGCACATTCCACAACCTATTTTTACAACCCGTTTTAGCAGACTGACTTCAATATAAGCTGTTTTTAGACTAACGAGAAAGTTGAGTTCTGAAACTAAATTTTTGTAGTACAGTGACCTCTTATATGTCAAAAGATCAAGAGAATTTCTTTTTTGATTTCTCAGTTAACGACCCCTTTAAGTCCTCGGCTGTCGAGAATAGCAGAAACTAGTGGACTGGAATACTGGAGTGCACGTCTCTCTTATTTAGTGGAATACAGATGTTATTTGTGCAGTGACCACAAGTTAAAAGTTGATGGGATTGATGGGAGCTGACAAGCCATGCCACATATATGAGAGTAGTGATGCACATTTCCTTTGGGTATTGACCGGGAAAGCCACAAATTTGCCATTTCAAACTTCTGAGTGCAGCGGCACAGAATGACGCTTTCAGTGGCCTTCATAAACCCAACCATCAATCACAAACTCCAAACTAGCTCACTAAAGAGAGACCAAGATCAAAATCTTATATTTAATCAAAAATACAGTAATATTCTGAAATATTATTACAACTTAAAATAACTGTTTTCTATTTGAATATATTTTAAAATCTAATTTACTCCTGTGATGCACAGCTGAATTTTCAGCAGTCCAGTATTCAGTCTCATGATCCTTCAGAAATCATCTAATATACTAAATTTGGTGCTCAAGAAACATTTCTTATTATTATCAATGTTGTGCTGCTTAATATTTTTGTGAAAGCTTTCTGACAAGATGCGCGTTAAATATCGCATGCGATTTATCGTGCAGCCCTATTATCAATGTTGTGCTGCTTAATATTTTTGTGAAAACCGTGATTCATGTTCGTCAGGATTCTTTGACAAATAGAAGGAACAGTATTTATTTTGAAATAGATGTTTTTGTAACATTATAAATATCTTTCTGTCATTTGTGATTCATCTTTGCTGATTAAAAGTATTCATTTCTTTGCTTTCTGACAAGATGCGCGTTAAATATCGCATGCGATTTATCGTGTCTTATTATTATCAATGTTGTGCTGCTTAATATTTTTGTGAAAACCGTGATTCATGTTCGTCAGGATTCTTTGACAAATAGAAGGAACAGTATTTATTTTGAAATAGATGTTTTTGTAACATTATAAATATCTTTCTGTCATTTGTGATTCATCTTTGCTGATTAAAAGTATTCATTTCTTTAAAAATTTTACTGACCCCAAACTTTTGTAATATATGTAACAGGGGTTTGATTAAGCTGAAAAAAGTTGACTTTTGTTTTGCATTATTAGTAAAATTCTTTACTACATTTCAGGAAAATACAAACTGATCTCAGCCTGACCCAAGCCTCCCTCTGTGAACTTCCTTCAGAAGGAATATCACTACTGTTTTGCATGAAACCTTTATCTTTGCTGCCAAGTCAATAAAGAGAAAAGTGTAGTGTGCCATGATATTCAAACTGTTTAGGGGCATGGACAGAGTTACTAGCTTCACTTAAATATCACATCTAAAAACTAGACTGGAAATATGTACAAGAACATTTTTACAAATAGGCACCATTTGCACTTCTGATCCAGCCTAACCTTTTCTAATTCAAAGGTGTATTTGATCTGACAAATTATCTTTTTGACTGACAAGAAGTCTCTGAGGTTTCTACTTACTTCTACTAAAGATATATAGGCTATCCCAGAATATTACAGCAAAAAGCATGACCTCATGCAAACATGTACATTTATGCATTTGGCAGTTGTTTTTATCCAAAGCAACATACAGTACATTTGAGGTATATAACCAGTAAAGGCTCAATCATCCTCACAACCCTACAGAGGATAAGCGGTTTGGCGAAGGGCTGGATGTATTTACCACTAAACCTACAGGAATACTATCTGTGATTCTGAAGTTTAGTGCAAGTAGTAGTTTGTGTGTCACTGTAGATTCAACAAAGTTCTTACACTATGCAAACATTTTGTTGTATCAAAACTCAAATGGAAAGCATTTCTTGTCAGTCCAGTTAGACTGCACCTACAATAGCTGAAGACAATGCTGCTTTGCTTAGTGAATCAACTCTTGAATAGTTTCTAAATTTAAAAGAGAACAAAACAACTATCGTGTCACTAAATGTACTGTTCTTGAAAGTAAAAGTTAAGTGAAAACTTAAAGTGACATGTAATGTCAGGGACAAAGATAAGGCAATGCACTTTCACAGATGGACCGTAGTGAAAAGAAAAGTCATGTACTACATGAAAACAATATGCAACTCTATAAGCAGCTGATGAAAACAGGAACACTTGTTTCCTCCTCGCAGTAGGAGACTCCTTCTCACACTTTCTTTCACACTTCCTGTTCTGAGTTGCCAAAGCACATAACACAGAAATGGTCAAGTTAAACAGACAGATCAAGGTCAAATATAACAACCTTACTGTACCTTTAAACAGGCAGCCGCTGATGTTACTTCATAATGTCCACCCATAAAGCGACAATCTCGTTGAAAAGTACTGTTAAGAGTGAAACTCTCCACAATTGGACATTAAGCGCAAGCAAAGACTGAGACTGAAGTTTAACTGAACGTGCAGAAGATTCTGAAGCTGGAGCTGCTCGCGTTACGGACTCATGGCTACAGAAAGCTGCCGACAAGTTTGATCAAACACTTGTGCGCGTTCACATAGAGGCACTCGCGTCCACGTGGACCTGCATCCGTCTGTTTCTATAGCAACCGAAGAACGCACGCGGAAGTTAGATTTAGATTTTTTTTTAGTTAAATCATAAAGAAGTAGGCCTACAATGCAAAAAGAACAAGTCAAATATAAGCCACTGTTGTACAGTTCAGAGTATGTGAAATAACTAACTAACTAACAACAACAACAACAAAGTGAACATGTAAAAATAAAATGGAAAACAAACAAACAAACAAAATACGAAGATAAAGAGTATTATACATTAAATCATTAATAAAATGGCAGAGAAGTTAAGTGAATGAATTTAAATGGACGCATGGTGGAATAATAATAATAATAATAATAATTCTCTATAAAAGTATTTTATAAATGGATCAAAACAAAGTGAAAATACATTAAAACAATAATAAAAAAAAACAAACATATATATAAATAATACCTTACATAATACAACATTACACAGACCCGGTTAGATATCTAAAATAACAATAAAAAAAAAAAGTAAACGAGAAA